GCTTCTGTAAAGGCACACCTGACGGCGACCTTAATGCCTTAGTCGAGCCGCAACTCCAACTAGGCTTAAGAAACACCTGGATTTGCTCTACAATTTAATATTACGATTCGGTTTAAATTGAACTACCCTTACACATATAATAACCACCACTCCCCCCAGAAAAAGTAATATTTTCAGGCAAACGCATATTGTTATTATCATGTTCCTTCCACAAAACAAAACAGCTGCAGAAATTACTTGTTTGATTACGTGCAATATTAGGTAAATTCATGGTCATCAATAAATTGTGATGATTACTTACGTAAGTTTGCAACGACAAAGAAAAACGATTGTATTTATATAATTCGTGTAAAATGCGTCATTGGCGCTCGACCTTATGCTCTCGGCGGACAATTTTCACGTCTGGACGAAATAACATAATTGTACATATGTTATTAAATAAATTAAACGTTTGTCATTTGATACTACCTCTCTCGAAATGTGCAAATTCATAGAGCATTTAATTTTCTACGATCACGAGCGTTCTAGCCCTCCAGCGCACGGATGTGGTCTACCATTCCAGGCAAAAATAAAAAATGATTTCATTTACTGTTCGGTAGAACCCCGAGCTCTATTTGAAATCGGCATTTCACCAGTTCTAGCGATTCATAATAATAATAATAACAACAATAACCATATATATTGTCAAATTCGAAAAAAAAAATACTATTCCGAATTAGTTAAATAAAACAGTACTGTTTGTATTAATTACTAATTTCTAAATTGTCTAACCAAAGATCTTAAAGTTAACTGCATACCGTATTGTATATGCCTGAATCTAGAGAGTTTATTGTACGAACAATGTTTGTCGATTACACAATAAAAAATACCGTAGTTGATCTTGTGAAAGTTTAATATAAAAGTTTCAGTACCACTACTAGTTAACCGTGGAACTCTGAAGTAGAATAAGTTGAACAATTCGGTGCAATCAGTCTTGTTGATGAATAGTTTAGAACAAAAAATGATGTCACTTTTACTTTCAGAGTTTCAAAACTAGGTAACATTAACCTATGTTCATAAATATAGTTGTTTTTTTCGAGTCGTACTTCATGAACGTCATAGTAAGGATACCAAATTACATAAAGTCAGTTATTTGAGAAATGGTCTAACACATGTAACAAATAATGCATGTACAGGAAGTAACTGAAAACGAAAAAATTAATATTTTTAAGTGAACACACCAATAATAAAACAATTTTTATATCGTACGTTATTAATGATCATTTATGTCCTTATTCTACTTAAGATAGCAATTTCTCCATATGCACTTGAATCCATCGATGGTTCTTGATACGATTTTACGTTGTAAATAGTTTGGTAGATGGGGCTGAAGGTAAACCGATGAATTTTGGTAACCCTAAACGGAAAAATTTACTGTCGATGCAGCAAAAAATCATTAATAATGGTATTAAAATGTTAAATAAAATAGCACAATTTGGTATTGACGTTTAGTTTTCTCTACTCTATTTCCACTTTATTTAACATTTTAATACCATTATTATTAGTGATGGTTCATGCTCTCTTTCTGCTTCGACAATAATTTTTCTCCAGAGCTTCAGTTCTATGAGTAAAAACTCAATCTATTGAACAAATATTGCTGTCGAAGCATTATACAATGAGGGCTTGATTAATTCTTTACAATAATATATTATTAATAATAAAAATAATAACACACAGTACTAAAATGTTAAGTAACAGCAAAATTTGGTGTTGATGGTGAGTTTGCTGCTGTAGAATGTATATATTGTTTCAATAAAAAATTAAGCACAAAAACTATTTTTATTATTGCTATTCTCAATCCAAAATATTTATTTTTGTGTTTGATCCGGTTATTTATTGGAAATCCTGTAGTTTAAAGATGGCACTAACGGAAGTCTTTGGTTTGCCTTTTCATAAAGCCATACATACGAAGTATCTTAGTTGTAATTTTAACAATACACCTATGACCCTAAGACACAAATTTGCTGAGAATTAGAGATGTACCGACTATAGTCGGCCGACTGTTCGGCTTTGCTAAAACCGGTTTATAAATGCAATAGACAGTGTGTTTTTTTTATTTCTCTGACTACCTTAACAATTTGTTTTATTTTAATAAAAGGAATAACTAAAGTTCCTTTGTTTTCCAAAAAATGTGTTAAATTTGTTTGGATTTTAACATTTAATTTTTTTGTAGTAACTCAGTACAAAAATAAAGAATAACACAAGTTAGGGCAGTTTATACAATACTTTAACCAATTTTAACCACTTTTTTGGAAAATTTTTGGAAATTTTGAATTCACTTTGCGTGTTTATTGGACCAGATATCGTGAGGGCGTAACTAGCGGAAGATTATCTACAATTTGACACCAATTTTCGGTCGATTAAACCAATTTTAACCGGTTTTAGCAAAGCCGAACAGTCGGCCAACTATAGTCGGTACATCTCTACTGAGAATGAAACCGTTTGTCATTTTGTGAGATGATACGAGTTGAATCTCTTATAGAAAATACTTTACTAAATATTTTTAAATCATCCGCTAACAATAAATAAATGCAAGATAAAAAATTGTGTTTAATTTATTGATACAAAACGAAAATATAGGACCAAATAACTAACCCACATGAAACGACAAAAAAATCAGGAAACATTAGAACTTTGACTTTCTGTTTCCAAAAGTGTTTATTGAAAGCCCTTAATAGACTACTCAGGATTATAATAGAGATGAATTACAACACTTGTCTGTTAAAGTATGTTAATACACATCTGTTCATAGAACCTTTGTTGCTTTCCGGCAAGTAATCGGAGAAAAGGTTAATTAACTGTAACTTATCATTACCATCATAATTTTAAAAGGTTTATTGAGGGATTTCAAAAAACACTTTAGAAACAGAAGTCAATATTTACTAATTCCTGATCTCTACTTGAAGAAAAAAGTAGGGAAGAGAGCTTCTGTAATTACTGACTCTAGAATTTTACATCAAGAGGGAATTATGCAGGTCGGTCTATAAATAGGAATATTACACTTATTTCCAGATTTAAATAGGGATAAAACATACGAGATTTAGAATAAACCCTAAAAAGAAGGGTACTGTACATATTGAAAAAAAATTGGTCGACAGTTATTTCGACAGAACTTCCCTCGCCCCTGGAGAAATGATAGTGACATGATTTAGTCATTGTTCAGTTTTGTTTGTTTTTTTTTTATATATATATATATATATATAATAGTACCTCCAACAAATCCTGCTGTTTTGAAAAAATTTCATTTTGCAAAATTTTGCTTTTTTGTGATTACCTCTGTGGAGTAAAAATAACATGGAAAATAATAGTCACAGTATAAGAGAAAAAAATAGTTGGCGACCCCAGGTCTCACAAATCTACAAATCCCGCTTCTTTAAAATATTATAAAATTTGATTTTGCTATTTTCAAGATGGACCATAATGAAAATAAACAGAATTTACAGCGGGTGGTTAATAGGGGTGGGACAAGTTAAATATCCTTAAAGTAATAAACACTGAGTTTTTTTCCTAAAAACACTCATAAATTTGAAGAATTCGGCAAAGTTGTAGGAAGATGGACAAATGGGTTTTTGCAATTTCAAAGTTAAATTATAAAATATTGTTATAAAATTTTGATTTTATTTTCCAAAAAATCTGGATGCCAAGGGCAAAACCTCAACACAGATTCATAAACCACACATGCAGGAGCATGTTATTTTATAAAAATTTAGAGAACGTTTATTCGGCAGAATTGTAAAATGTCATTAATTTGGGGAATAAACGAGTATATTTTGATTAACGATTTATCATGCTTCCTGTAGTCTTATTACGTTTGCAAGACTTCAGAGCATTCGAGTTTACATTTTCAAAGTTAAATTGTAAAATACAGTTCACTGAATTTTTCCCCAAAAATCCGGATGTCTAGGATAAAACTCAACACGGATTCTTAAATAAAAAATCGCTCATGCATCCATTTATTAGGCAAAAATAGGCACATATAAAATTTGACAACAATCGGTCTAGTAGTTTCGGATATTATGTCTAATAACAATCCGGACAGGCGGCAGACAGACAGCCAGACCGAAATGGGAGAAATATTTGTATGTGTTTTAAGAACTTCTAAATACATTTTATTTACACTGCAGTTCTAATAAAATTTGAACTCAAAATGCAAGTCTTTAGTTTATCTGCAGTATTTAAGAAAAATCAAAAAAAACTTGACTACAAAATGACAGGATCATATAAGTGTAAATAAAATATATACATTTTAATTTGGTGTTTGTTTAAATTATGGTGTTGACAGGGCTCACCCGTGAACTCGTGTGATTTTGGGTCACCCCTCTACTGGAGGGCTAGAACAATATCTGGTTCTTTCGTTTATATATATAGAAGGATGTACGAAGTGTTGATTTTATATTTCATCGATTCGAGCACTTATATGTCGAGTTGTGATTATTATCGCCAACTATTAAGTACTTCGCTCCATTGATTCATCATAAATCTGTTAAAAATCGCCTGATGCTCGTACGCTCGACGAGTAGAGCGAGTAGCCGATAGTAAGCACATGGTGATCTGTGCATTTGGCAACTTCCGCTTCCGCGACATGAATGATCTCCGCCAAATATTACAATATCAACTTAAATTATGTAAAGGGCAATCTGCCCAAGTGCACTTTGAGTCGAGGGCACTATGATGGTAACCAAGGTTACAAAACCTTCACGACTGCGTCCGCCGAAGGCCCTCTAAGGGCGGAGTTACAGACCCCAACGCAATCGTTAATTCATAGATGCACGGAGCGTCCCCGTGGTGCGCCTCCACGGCCGCCTCTCCGCCGAACGGCAAGAAAGCGAGGAGTTTCTTCGTGAAAATGGCGTTTGAGCTTTGCCGGGAGGAATCGATAAAGCTCCAAATCGGTGCATAGGACATCGCGCTCGGCGGCCGCCACACGTCGTGGTCTACGCGAGATGTCACCCCTAGCTTACCTGCGGGAGGTTGGCGGCGATCTGCCTCTGGAGCGAGTCGCGCTCCTTCTCCACGTCCGCCAACTTCATCTCCGTTTCACCCAGCCGCTCCTGGGTCTCCCTCAGGCTGTCCATCAGCTTGTCCCGCTCGTCCAGCATCGACACCATGAGCTGCTCGAAGTTGGCATCCTCGCCGGAGAACTGCGAGCTCCTCTGGCTGATGCTGTCCTCCGAGATGGTCGGCATCACATCGCACATCATGTTCCACATGCTGCCTATTTACAATTCGCGCACTGCCCCAGGAATACAATATCTACAATTACATGTATCGGTTCTAACCCCTTAACGTCCCCACATTTGTTTTAACTAAACCGCCCGCAGAGACCGCTTAACCCCCGCCTGCACATTGTCACATGGGCGATTTTTCCAACAGTTAACATTATCGAAACGTATTCACTATGACACACCTACAAATTCCATCCCTCACGTCCTAGCTACATACACAAACTTGGGATCTGACAGCCATTTTAAAACCAATGTCAAATAAGCCCTATCAAAATCGGTAAAGCAGATTCCTGCACATCGACACGAACGTAACCGGCGCGGGGCAGATGGCGCTTACGGATAGCACCCTCCCATAGTCACTTCTTCTACGCAACATTAACAATTCATCCAAATAGCGTTTTTAACGTTTTATAAACCGTAAAAATCTTCCTAAAATACAACTGCCCGTTAATCTAACCTCAAAGTTATGACAGGAGCGTCGGCTGACAACTGACAGACTTTGACAACTTCAGTCCATCATGGCTGGTGATAGCGATGGTCTCGTTGGTCATTATTTAAGTAATTTTTCTATTCCAGTTTTATCATGTACTTCATCCACAATTTGACAATAATTCAAGCAAAACTCACACCATGTCCAAACATAGAAAATCCGGAAAGAAACACTCCTCAAACAGCCTAGCAGGTAAATGTTTACAACTTTGCGCAATGTGTCATGTTTCGCGTTTCTTGCAAAAATTCGCAATTTAGAAGAGTTGCTCGTATAATGACTGGTTGCTGTTATCTTGATTTATTGTTTGAATTCTTTTCGTTACTGTGGAATGTTACGATATTTGCAATTACCTGTTTTTCCTGTAATTGTAGATAAGCGATTGTTGGGATCAAGGTCGAGAGGCCCATTATCGTCACATGAATGGGCTTTCAGTAATTGATTTCTTATTTTTTGAGTGTATCAATTAAATGCTGTGTAGGTAATTTTTTTCTAAATACGTGTGTTGTATGGAAGACATGTTGATAATTTTTTTTATAACTACTGATGATTTTAGATTGTTTAACAAACCATTTAATGGATTTTCTGTTTATGAAAATAAATTTGAATAAATTATAGTATAAATCTAAATTAAGAGAAACTGGGTGAGTATTACACTGCAGAATATACTAACTTAATTTTTTCAGTTTTTACTTCTGTCATTGGAAAAAAATGTTTTGGGGCTAGAAAAATTCAGCATATATTTATTCAACAAACGTCGTGTTTAAAAATAGAGGGTTATGCTTACTTTAAACCAAGCAAATACCTATATTTCATACTGAAGTTTTATATTTTCTTGGGGGAATAGCATTCTGTAAAGTGTGAGCTGTTGCATTTGGCAAAAAACACGTCAATTTTTTTAATTTCATACAATTTTTTTATCTCAGCAGATTCATAATATTGGCATCCAAACAACTACTAACATGAAGACTAAATGATATGACAAAGAATGTACAAAATAAATAAATTTGCCAACAATTTAGGGTTTCACCAAAAATTAAAAAAACTTATTTTCTCAAAAGGAATATCTTATAGCAAAATTTACTAAAGGTCAATCAAAAAAATCCCAAACAATTTTAACTATAGAAATGTGGTTGAAGCAAGCAGTATTTGTTATAAAAAGCGTCAGTCAGAAAACAATATTTGACGCATTTTTTTTTAAACAATTTACAAGCCTAAAGTGGAAAGTATTGTAATCAGTTTTATAAATTTCTCAAGTAGATTGTACTTATCTCGTTAATTCTTAGTGTGTAATTTGTTCTTACACAAGTCTGAAATTAATTTTAATGGATTAATTGAAGTTTCCTGGTTTAGCAACAACATATCATATTTCTGTGAATATAATAATGAAATATACAGCAAAACTAACCTGAACGTTGCAATGTTTTCTTCAAGCTGTAATAACAACAGCACAAGTGTACATAACTTTGCAAAACTGTTAATGTTGACAGAAACATGGCCAATAGATAACAATTAATATTACATAAATGATCTGTGTTTGATAAAATAAGCATGGTACATATTGTATTATATTAAGTGTTGTTATTAATAAAAGTTATTTTACTTATAGCAAGTTATTAATAATTCCAGTAACAACCACACTATAAAAACAATTTCAATAATCATATAAAAATACATAGTAAATTTAAAATATCTACATAAGTGTGTCAACCAAGAAAAATTCACTGTTTAGATGTAATAAACAAGAAATTAAATTTATGGATGTTCATTCCTACATAGTAGGTATTTGTGCTAATCCGTTGTAAATGGAAGTAGCTAAAAGCTTTATTCTTTTCCGCTTGATATCAAGTTGTTCTTATGACTTGAACCGTGCAAATAAGTAAAAAAAAAGTTTGTGCATACACTCACATTGATTCTCTTCAATGAAAGTACGAATAGGTATACTTACACATAATAGATGTTTGTCTCAAAATAAAAGTTCTGCAGTAAAGATTTGTTACTTCAAACACACAATTTATATTCCAATAATTTAGTAGCATTACATGCGTCCCGTTCAAAGAAGATGAAAGAAATAACACCAAGTATGAGACTAAAGTGATTAGAACTATTGTTAGGTACTTTTAAGAAGTGTGTCAAATTGCCTCTGCCCGGGATTGGAAAGGGAGGAACTTAACCTGTGTGCTAAGCAATGATAGTAATATCTTTAACATATGTCGAATGCAAAAAGAATGCAGCCTAATGACAAGTATCGGTTATTCAATTGAAAAAGTCGTCAAGTCGGCCTTGATTTATTGTGAAAATTGTGAAGCATATCCATAGAATATTAAACCTAAAATTTGATCGATGACAGTTGACAACACGAAAATGTCAATTGAACACATCAGTGTGGATTAATAAAACACATACATTTTTCGCTGTTTTCTTCTGCCAAACGCAGCGTCATCTTGATAACTTTTTCAATTGAACGTTATACGTCTATGTTTCTACATATTTAAAAAATTGTCTTAATGCCACACATCCAAAATCCTGTCACATTGTATAACACAAATCTAAAGTTTTACAGTTGACATCTGAACTGATGAATACCTGCTGAATTACCTGATAAATATTGTAACTCAAACGAATGTATCGTGATACATACATATCATAATTCTAGCACAAAGTTGTAAATAGACAGTAAACAGAATAGTCTGCTTTATACTGAAATAATTAGTTTTAGGTGACTTTTGAAATTACCATTAAAACTATCTGACTGTAATCTTAGCATCCTGCAGTAGTAGTATTTGTGTACAACATATATGTTGATGTAAAACCTTTTTATTCTCTACTGCCCAATGTTGAATACATAAATTTTAGAAAAGTTCATTTAAAAATTGTCAAGTTTGAAGTCAAAGTTTTATTTCTAGCTGAATTTGTATACTGTGACATATATTTTTTTTCCTTTTTTATAAAATTGTTAGTCGTATTTTAGTTCTGGTCCTTAATTAAAAAAAAATCAAAACTTTTTATAAAATCATTCTTCCTGAATAATTTTTGAACAACTTCCAGTTAGGGATGCCATTTCTAGTTTTATGTAGTGTAAAACATAGACCGTGAAGTAAATCCACTGATTGTGTTTGTACATACAAAAATATCGTTTACTTAACTTTTATAACTGCTTCTGTTAGTATACATACATGTTTATCATGTTGACCACATGGTAATTTGCCGCTCCCTGCCGATGTAAGTCAAAGTTTCCTAATAATGAATTATATCTTCCAAATCCGTTAACTGTCATTTTTTGTAATATTCATTTCTGTCGTCTGCTTCCTGTTTTTATTAGCGTCGCGAATTCGTTGTTTGAACTTAATTTACAATGATTTTTCTGCTTGGCTGATTTCGCATTTGCATTTTTCTCACCCGCGTTGAAAAACGGCTGTAGTAAGACATGATTTGTTCGTTGGAGTTTATAAAATTCAGTAAATTAATCTATGTCTTTTTATACAGCCGGCCAATCTTTACTTCACGATCGTAAGCTAAGGAAGTAGTGTCATAAGCTTCATCCGGCGAACGGCTACTTCCGTGTTCTCTAAACGAAATTTTATATGTGAGGAATATCGTGTGTTTAGATGGTGAAACACCACTTAAAAATGTTGCATGGTAATTGCCATCTAATTTTATAAAATAACATACTCCTGTACTTGTGTAAACGTACCCGTAAAACTAACTAAATACAAATCAAGTTAAAACTTTTCATTTAGCGGGAATGGTGAACAAATGCACACCGTTAGAAATGGTAAATGTTAATGATGTGAATGACAAGTTAGCATAAGATCTCGCTAAATCATTAAGCCAACTGTCTTTATTCAGACTGAGGTTAAGTAACTTATCCCGGAAATGGTTAAAGTGAAAAAAATTATTACAGTTGACTTCTAAAGACCCCAAATGAAAACATATTTACAATTTTTTTTGTTCACTTATCCGGTAACGTAAATTCGAAAAATTTTCGATTTTGCAGCAGTCTTCTTTTTTAGATAGATTTAAAGTAAGAACATTCTTAGAGTAGATTGATGAACTTGTTTGTATTTATTTAAAACTTTTTATTTTGATTCTTAATAAAACTTGAGTAAATTACAATATTTGATTAGTGAGAAATATTTGCAGTGCTGTACTAAAGGATGTTTTACAAGTTGAAGGTTCTGTTTTATTGTTTAGCTAAAGTTTTATTGATAAAGTAATATTAAAGTTACAGCGTACCCGTGTAAACAAATTTCGCTGTTTTTTTACACAGCAATGTATTATTGGTTTTCTAACTGATTTAATTTTGTACAACTATTTTTAATTTTAAGCAGTTGCTAAAGCCAGAAAGTATTTGAATTCACAACGCGCTACGATATAACAATGTTTTTCAAAAAATTTCATAATAACGAAACGCTACATCCTCAGAAATTGAATGGCATATTGTAAATTAAGATGGGGAAAAAAGCAATAATTATTTTCCTGGGCTCTAATTCACTAAAGATTCGCTAGTAACTTGGCAATTTGTTAACGGCGCGCACAAATTGTGTTTAATATAAAAATGGTAATGTTATGTTTATATCAATTAAGGAGGTCGTACATTTCTGATAGTAAGGGTTCATGAAGTTATGTTTTGTATATGTGAAAAAAAAGTTAATATTTTTTAGTGCAGAAATGACAACAATTTCACAAAAATTTTTAATAAATGTACAAAAATGTTTTTGTTAATACATAAAAGATGCATATACAAAATAAATTTCTAATGTTTCGTTAATATTGTGTATTTCTTCAAAGTTAGTTTTTCGTATTTTTTCTAAATACACCTTACGTGATAGCAAAACATGAAGTACATATTCGTAATTAGGAATGCAACGAATATGCAAAACAGTCGTTAAAACAAAAACAGGTTTTAAGATTTAAATTTATAGGCCTGCGTTATTAAGAAAATTAGGAACTAAGTATTACAGTATTTCCCAAATTTTTATCTGATACTATCGCCGCCTGAGAAGTTGTTTGATCTACAGACCAGAGCGTACTCAAGCCAATATCGCCTCTAAGTGATTTATCTATAAGCCGACTTTCGTTAGAGCTGATCTGATACACATCCACTACGAAGAACTAACCCGTTTCGTCCATCTGGTCGGACTTTACAACGAATAAGTGAACAAAGTTCTTGAACATCGTGTTCTCTAATGAGAAAATTTACATTTCAAATTATATTATCAAATTACGTGTTGAGTTTTTACCTTGGATGTCAAAATTTTTGGAGAAAAAAATCAACATTTTCCGATTTATAGTTATTGGAAGCATGTTAAATCATTAGTCAAAATTTATCGGTTCATGCCCACCAGGAATTGATCATCTTACAATTTTGTCGAATAAATGTTATTTAAATCTTAAAAAGTAGCATAGTCTTGAACTTGTGGTTTATAAATACGCTATTGAGACTTTTCGGTTTTTCGATTTCTCTATTTTTCAACTTTAGATGTTTTTCCATATGATACGATTTCTCAATTGTGTCCTCTTCAATTTTACCATTTTTAAGTATTTCAATTTTTCAAATTTTGACGTTTCTAAATTTTTAGTTTTTCGATTTCTGAGGTAATCTTTTTTTGATTTTTCAATTTTTCTATTTTTTAAGCTTACGATTTTTCGACTTTGCTTTTTTAGTTTTTCGATTTCTCAATTTTCCAATTTTTTAATTTCTCAATTTTTTGGATATTTTTGTCAGTTTTGGGATTTTTCAATTTTTCGATTTTTGGATTTTCAATTTTTCGTTAACCTCTAGAGTTTCCAATTTTTAAAAATCCTAAATTTTTAAATTTTCGATTTTCCAATTTTTCTTTTTTAAAATTTTTAGATTTTTCAATTTTTTGATTTCTCGATTCATCAATTTTTCAATTTTTAACTTTTCTTCTCGGTTTTCGGATTTTTTGAGTTTTACTTTTGGGCTTTCCAATTTTTCGATGTTTCGATTTTTCAGTTATCCGATTTTTAAAATTTTCAAGTTTTTAAATGCTGTGGTTTCGATTTCTCGATTTGTCCATTTTTCGGTTTTCCAATTTTTAAACTTTAGATTTTCGAATTTTTGATTTTGTGATGTTTCGATTTCTCGATTTTGTAATTTTTAAATTCTTCAATATTTCCATGTTTCAATTTCTCAAATTTTGACGTTGCTAAATTTTCAGTTTTCCAATTAATTTATTTTTAACTTTCCCATTTCTCGACTTCTCAAAGTTTCGATTTCTCAGTTCTTCAATTCTTCGATTTTTCGACTTTGCTTTTTTGGTTTTTCGATTTCTCAATTATCCAATTTTTTAATTTCTCAATTTTTGGATATTTCTTTCAGTTTTGGGAGTTTTCAATATTTCGATTTTTCGACTACTGGATTTTTCGATTTGGATTTTCAGTTGCTCGTTTTTTAAACTTCAGATTTTTCAATTTTTCGACAGTTTTATATTTCGATTTCTCAATTTTTCAGTCGAAAAGTTCTAAAAACGAAAAATTGAAGATCCAAAAAGTAAAAAGTCAAAAAATGGAAAAATCTAGAACTTAAAAAATCAAAAGTGGGAATACTAAAAAATCCCAAAACTGAAATATCCAAAAAATGACAGATAGAAGAAAAATTGAAGAATCGAAAAACTGAAAAATCACAAAATTGAACGAAATATTCAAAAACTGGGAAATTAAAAAATTGAAAAATTGAGAAATTAAAAAGTCAAAGAGCAAAGTCCAAAAATCACAAGCTTCCAAAATTTAAAAAATTGAAAAATCAAAAACTTGTAAAATCGAAGCTTCGGGAAGCCGAGAAATGGGAAAATAAAAAATAGATTAGATGAGAAATCGGAAAACTGAAAATTCAGAAAAGACAAAATTTGAAAAATTAAAAAATACTGAAGAACTGAAAAATCGAAAAATCTAAAAATCTGAAATTTAAAACATTGAAAAATTAAAATTTCGTAAAATTGAAAGATGGAGAAATCTAAACATCAAAAATCAAAAAAATAAAAATTCGAAAATTTAAAAATCGGCAAACTGAAAAATCAACAAATCGAGAAATTGAAACATGGAAAAATTCAAAAGACATCGACACAACAAAAATTCAGACAATAGGAAAATTAAATAACCACCAAAATTGTGACTAAGAATTTGTAAAAATTAATACAAAATAGAACACAGAATGCTTCTAAAACATAAAAATAACTGCACTTTCCCGAAAATATCTATTGCATGATTGTTCCACTAGTACTGCAAATTTAGGACGTTTTGTTAATCAAACACAATTAAAGAATTAATTCTTAGTGAAACAAAAAAATTGGTTGCATGTCAAAATCGAGTGAAACATATGAGATGTGATATTATGTTTGTAATTAAAAGCATCTAAATAATAACCATTTCCCGCAGAAATTCTGAACGCTTAGAGTCGACATTGGCCTGAGTGAACTCCGGTCTGCGGATCAAACAAGTTCTCAGGCGACGACTTTTCTCCTAGTTGAATGGCCCTTGGAACTCTGTGCATCTTCATTTTTGATCTTCGACATACGTATCTCGGATAGGTGGTGTTGTTCTTGTATTCGTGGATAAAGCAGATGTTCTGATTCACTACTTTAAGAAGTGTGGCTTTTAAATTAAAATACCATTTTGGTGACTTTCTTCAGCCTTGCAATTGATTAAGCATGTACGTATTGTACGTGTTGAAATTCCGTCGGCAATTTATAAATAATTATTGAATTAAACTTCCAAAATAAAATTCGTGTACTAGCTAGTAAACTTCCTATAGACCGAAATACGTATACTAGTAGTAGTTTCAACAAATATATTCAAATCTCAAGTAAAATTTTATGGACTAATTTTAAAGGAAATTGCCTTGTAGCCCCCATTTGCTAATAATCAAACAAAAATTATTACTTAGGGGAATGGGAGTCAAATCTTAATTGGTAAACAAAATTTTCAACAATTATAGTATATACTTTTGCCATCATTTTTATGTGCCTAACGTGATTTTATTTGTAAAAGTCCAAAAAGAAATTGGTGATCCTGATTTTTAAAGTTGGCTCGATCTTATAGAATCGCACAAGATGAACTGAATATTCTACGTTCTAGAACTTAAATATGAGCCATAAAAAAGTAAATTTATTTTGGAAACCGAATTTTATTGGCTCTTCATTTCAAGAAAGAAAGATTGATTGAGTGCAATGACTCTTGAACTAAATTTGACGTTGTTTGTATTATTATTAAGTAATCTACAATTTTTCTATCAAACTTCAACAGTTTTCTTTTTATTACAGATGTAACAATCAACGATTTCGCCAACTCTTCAGTATGCAAATACCGTACAAGAAAATCAACCACTAACGTCAATAAAGTACTGAAACAGCTAGAAGACGATAAAAACTGGGATGAAAAAACGGAAGATTTCGATGGGAATTTCGTCGAGAAAGAGAACGAAGACGGGACCATATCATACGTCATCCAAAAATCAGAACCACGAAGAAGAAGAAAGACAGTGTCCAGTAGTGAAGACCGCAAACCTGACGATACCGGAAATGAATATCCCATAGATATTTGGTTTCTGATTTCTGAATATATCCGACCTGAAGATGTCGGTCGATTTGCAGGAATCTGCAAAGCTTCATATGAGGTTGTTTCAACAGCGAAATTCTGGTTTTCCATGTACAAACGGCACTACAAGAGCGTACCAAATCTGCCCGAACGTCTCCACCCCGAATGCCTCTTCAGGAAATACGGTATTCGCACGTCGGTTATAAGGGCTCTAAATTACATGTACATACCCTTCATTTCGCGCTTGAAGTCCATGGAAAGACTAGAACAGCATCCAGATATTCTAAAGAAAACGCGGTGCGTCCTGATGTGGCACAAAAAAACCGATACTCAGTGCCTGTACTATTTCAAGATGAAGATAAATGTCCAGTCGCCGCATCGCAGAAGCCAGAAAGAGACTTATCAACCGGACCTTCTGGAGATGCTTGACGACGTTTTTGCCAATCAGGACGAAAGTTGCAGAATCCTGCAAGTCACATGCAAACACCTCATTCCCATAGCCCCGGTGTTGGGCCTTACACTGACATCTGCCCAACTCAACTTATCCGCGGAGTTGAGATCCTATAAGCTACAGTTGTGGTTTGGGTCCGAGATTCAAAGCTGCAATCCCTCAACAGGTGGCAACGGCAACACTCTCATCATCCTGGAACCTGTGATCAATGTTAAAGTGCTAGACTGGTGGCACCCTCTTTATCCCCACAGTTATAATATGGAATATTTGTGCAACCAAGAGTAGAACAGAACCATGTTCACATGGATGATCAAAGCTAACTCCGTTTCATGCCCCCGTTCCAATAGATGTGTGTTTAGGCGGTAAAAAATTACAGTTTTTACATAAACACAGGATTTCAACTTTGTTCGTGTTGGGACGATTTCAGTTTCAATGGCTTAAGTGTATTTATTTTTACAAATAAATTTTTTCAGTTGATTGATGGATTTTTTATTGAGAAGAACAAAGCCCTTTTAACGCTCATGGCACCCAAATGACTATCACGAAATGAATTATTGGTAATAAATTGACCCCAACAGTGCAATTAGTCAATGAATAACTCGCAAATGCGCTGCAAAACGTTTCTGCTTAGTCGCTCTTTAATTACAGGTTATTCCAAAAGTTCGCCGATTAAAATTTTGATCATTCTAAGCTGGTATAGATTCACAAACTATAAATATTGTTCACAGCAGAGCCGTGTCAGTTATGTTATAATATTTACACTTTAAACATGATCATGCTATGGAATAGCTAGATGTTTACCGTAGAATCTGTAGAATATTTAAATACCCTTTTTAATTTAACTTCATGATTGTAATTTTTGTACAAATCAATTTCTGGTTCACCTACAAATATCTAAGATTTTTGGTAACAATTGTTAAGAGCTTTATACTTATGTCTGTACAGAACCTTTTATGTATAGTTTAGAATGTAGTGAAGAAATTGAAGTAGTTATATCATATTGTGCTATAAAATTAGTCATACTTTATTGGGTTTTACTTCCCGAATATAAAGTTTTGTAAAAGGGTCCGTTTGACGAGTGGCTGATTTCATGTTCAAGTGAGTCTTCATTGTCCGTTTATCTCTCATCTGTTGGATATTTTATTGCACAAATGATCTCAGAAATTAATCAAAACTTGTTTGTTCATCTCCACCATGGAGGTAGAATAAGGGTCATATTAGGTATAGTAGGTCATATTACCTCCATGTCTCCACCAACAAATTTGTGACGTCATCTCAAAGGTTTGCTGAATCAATGCTATCTAAAATGCTCAAAATAATAGGTATGTGTCTATACCTCTATGGTTTATTCATCTAGCTTTAGTTTTAACACTGCACATTTAGTTTCTGGAAAAAATTTTCATTGCTCAGCCGTCAAACCTTCAAATTCGCCACGGAAATTCTCATTTTTGGTCCTAATAAAACAATGTACAATTTATGATCATTAAATCAAAAACAGTTTATTTCATTTTATTTTTAGTTTAACAGCTAATAGGGGTTATCATAAGTATTAAAAATAAAATTCAAGGAATCAAACTTTTGGTTTGTGTACGAAACTAAAATATAGTTTCATTGGCTGTACCTAACTAGTGAGAACTTCTGTATAAACAAGAACTTTAGACCAATTTTATTTCAGTTATTATTCCCTTACCTACTATGCTAAAGTACCTACTTATCAAAATATTTATTCATCTTTTTTTAAAGTCTAAGCTACTGCAGTAAACATCAAATTTTATTTGTTCGTTATTTGCAGAAACGGAAGTGCTCGACAGTTAAAATTTTACTTTTCTTCCCCCTGTGTCGATAAAGTGAGCATCATAAAAAAATTTAAAAAAATGCAGTTGTTTGCATCTAATTTTCCGCCTCTTGGAAATAAATTCTGCATCGACATTACCTAGACCTCAAAGTGGATTTTTAAAAAAGTTTCATTTAATGTTGTGTGGTGACAATGATGAGTGATGACGTCCAGTTTTGTAGTTAAATTGTTAATTAATTACTACCCCTCAAGCGGTCACATCCACATTTTTGCTGTCAAATAATGATACCATATATACAGTATACAGGATGTTTATCACCATTGGAAAGTTAAAGTTTTTAAAACGATTCCGTACTACGTAACCTAGCTAGGTAGTTTTAGGTAAACAGATTTCCTTCAGAGTAAAGTACGTGGTTTTAAAATGCATGCTATTTTGTGGATGAATTTCATTTAATTTGAAATTACAGCCGGCGAGCGTTGGAACTACTTTTTGGAAAATTACATATAGCTGCTAGTGATTTTTCCAAAAAAAAATGTTCCCTAAGTTTTTACTAGTATGAGTATGTATAATTTGTTTCTCGTACTAGTAGTAATTTCGAAATAATTGGATTAGCGAAATTAAAAAGCCTGTATAAATTGATTTTGTTTTGTTAAAGTGACGTTGTATTAATATAAAACGTGGTAATTAATTATACACAAACTCTGCAGTTCTGGTTTAATCGATTAATTTATGTCTTCAGTATTAATTAAATCAAGACATAATGTTAGTTTTAACTTCAACTATCAAAATAAGCAAGTGTATTTTTTACATGAAGTAGATTTTTTAACAAACTGTTTTACCTTCATTCAAACTGTTAAAAAGTGCAGTAAATGTCCACGGATTTAGTCCTAACCTAGTAAATTAATTTAATCTTTAACATCCTCACTGAACGTAAGACACGAAAAGCAATTATCCAATAAACACAAGACAAACAGCAACAAAACCTTTCGACATTCGCTTTCCATATGGTTGCTCAAAACCATAATAATTCGTTTATAATGCGTGAGTTATCGATGAATATTTTTGTGAAAGTACATATTTAGTTTTTAGGAATAGCGGAAATTGTACACGCAAATTATTATAAGAAATAGTATGTTACATAATGTACCATATTATTACGTGCTGAAAAAAAATCTGAATCGGTCTGAAAATAAAAGTAGGTAGTAGGTAGTTAAAAAATGGTATTCGCAGTGGAAGCTTCTTTTTAGAGAATTGTGTTGTTTACAAAATCCCTTCGGGATATAATATCCTCATTTTTTACGTTTCATTGAATAATTAAAGAGAATCGTCTTTTACAGTCAAAACTTCCAGTCAACCCTGAGGGTCTGTTTAACGAGATTAATAAAAAAGATGTTCACGGAAATCTAAAGCATAAAACATAAACTGTTCCAAGAATAAAACGTCTAAGCTTACGTACATTATTTAAGTCATGCTGATTAAACTATTTAATAAAGGATACAAGTTTTTCTGTTAATACGAATGATATTTTGGATTCCAAATCATTGAAGTTCACGACACAATAATGCCATGGGTACACGTTTATAATTTTTTTTACTCTTTCCCGAAATATAAGTATATTTTTTGCTCCTATACGGGGTTGCGCAGAGATCTTTATATACATGTATAATACTATCAGTCAGAAATAAGTTTAATTTAAGATCCAAAATGTAACCTGTTTTTTTTATTTCCGTTACCACTAAGAAAATTTATGCAACTATGTAATACAGATTTGTGTATATTTGTATAAAAATTCTAAAATGTTTTCACCTTTTTAATCATATTTTCGATTGGTTATTTTAACGTAATTCAAATATTCATCACCCATATCCTTATCTCCCCATCCCCAAATCAGGTCACTTTCACTATTTTGATGTTGTACCAAATTAGTTGTTCTTTTGTCTAAAATTCTGGTGCCGTCTCCAGTTCTACTTGCTCTTTTCGCGATCGATTCCAAAGAAACAGTTTTCAGATCATAGGCCCACCCAATTGCTGCCATTAAGTTTAGAAACATTGTAGTTATATTTATTCTGTACTTTCCGATTTCAGCTGTTCTGTAGTCCCATGGGAAAATATGATGATAATTGTGCCACCCTTCGCCCAGGGTTATAAAAGAAATTAGAGGAGGAGATTCGGTTGGACAAATATTTCTGAAAACATATTTAAGATTATGTTAATTTTTTTTAAGTTTCATACTTATCATATGGTCGGGTACCAAAAACATGAGCAACACTATTGATAAAAAACAATGTATGTCCGACAAAACAGAATCTTACCATGGTAGCTATAAAAAATGAATTTTCAATAGTTTCATTCCAGAAATAATACGGTATCGCTGTTGGTATTAATATTCCGACTACGGGGGCAAAAAATACGAAATAGTATCTAAAAACAAAATATTGATACTTTGAACTACTTTTAAACTGTAGGTAGTACTTTTTCTGGAACATCAGTATTTTATCTGATTGCAAATCACTATACTGCGTATTCTTACATTTTTCTACCAATTCTGGTTCTGGTTCTATAAGCAGCCATCCAAAATGTGAAAAGAAAAAACCGCGGAAAGAATTGTGTGGATCTGCGTCTGTATCTACGCACTTATGATGGATTCTATGGAGAAACGCCCATTCGTAAGCATCTTTCTGAAGTGTTAATGTTTGGCAAATGATCAGAAAGATTTGAAGTGGTAATTTAGCTTTATAGGATCTGTGAGACCATAAGCGATGTGCCCCTGCTGTCATACCTTCGATAGAAAGAACATGAAGGAACCAAGCTAAAATAAAAACTTTTTTAGTAGGTACATATTTAATTATACGCGTTACTAAAATTGACTCAGCGAAAAACTGATAACATTCTTTTTTGGAATGAACTTACCTGTGAAACCACCAGACCTTCAAATAAATTTATTGTCAGTGGCTAATAAGATAACAACAAATTCCAGGGTTATCGTGTCCTATTCAAGAATGTTATATATAAAAAAAAAACTCGGCTGCTGAGAAAAGACCATTATGGAATACGTTTGAACTTTAGATATAATTTTAGTATTGATAAAAGTCTAGACCTGATGAAGTTTATGGTAAAATAAACGAAATAAGTCGTCGACTTTTTGACGTTGAATCCCAATATAATCACTGTATCTATTAATGGAGCCAAATAGTTTATCACCTTCATTAATAACAAATTGGATGGTGTGAATTTGTTTTTTTTTTTTTTTTGAAAATCAGTGGAATAAAATACAATTCGTGATATCACAAATATATAAAACCTATGCAGAAAACCACTACATTTTTTCATGAAATCCATGGATCTTATTTTGACATTATCAAATTGAAGTTAATTAATTAAGTACCATTATTTCAATTCACTGCAATAAAGTTAAAATATCTGTTAATTAGAAACATGTTAATTAAAAGTTTATTAAAACCTTAAAGCAAATGTTGGCAACATTTTTTTAACAGTATCGTTGTGTTACTTTTCTTGTTTGGCAAAGCAAATAAACACTTTTTTTAATGTTAAAACATGAAAAACATTAATGTATCCATTTTTTTAAGAAATGGAAGAAAAACCTCACTCGACCCCATTTGCCATTTACAATTTGAGTTGTGGCCCTTTCTGGATATTTTTCAAAATTAAAGAATTTTTAAATTATTTAAAGCGATTCTTTTTCATTGTTGATGCCGTGTATATACATTGTTTACTTACATATTACGCTATATTGTACATTAAATACAAAAAAAAATGGTTCAAAGTTATTTGGACAAAGTTATTGGTCCTTGAAGTCCTACAAATCCATTTACTTTAAAAATCCATGAAATTTGATTTTGCGCAATTTTACTGATTTTATGAAAATCCCTATAAAAAGGAAAAACTATCGCCCATAAGAAGACCGAAGTGGCCGACCTCCATTTAATTAGCACGCCACTGCAAACACCTGAGGTATCGAGGATTACCGAAGGTTGCTCTTATACGGGTATAAAATATTACAGCATTTTTACTTAAACCACAAGTAGATGAGTATGTTATCTTGTAAAATTTAAATCTCAATTAGGAGTAAGCACAGTTTTGAGGTGACGTCACCACCCTGGTAGGGACGGTTAGAACAATTTTGGTTAGCGTTTTACCATCTACACGATATTCTTAATATACATATGTAAGTTTCTAAAATGTGCAAATAATATTACTGTTAAAAAGTCAGTTGTCACATTTCTTAACGTGTTCTAGCTTTTTTCCAGTTTCAGTTAAAATTTGGAAAAATTAAGTTGTCATTTATAAAATCATCGCTAATAATAAGACATCGATAATAAAAAGCATCAGAATTGTTCCTCAAATAATCTCATTCTGAAAATGGGTATTGTTTGTCCTAGGATCTACGTCAGTTTTTAGTCTGCTACAATGGCACTATGCCACATTTGTTATATATCGGTTATGATATTAGATATTGGGGTATAGAATAATAGAATCGCTTAAAGATAAATTTATAACAAGTAGAAATTTACCATAAAATGTAGTTTTCCACTGTGCGCTAGTAAAAATCAAGTACAGACCATATATTGCACCAATATGCATAGCTGAAAAAAGTGCAATATTTCTCCATATAAACTTCCACTTGTACTCTTTTTTTTGCTTCACTTTTGTCGTGTTTTGAATAACCTGGGAGTCGGTTATAACTTCTGCTGACATCTTCGTTCTAAAGAAAACTCCATTCAGTTTGCTAATAAACACTTATAATGCAACAATTTTTTTTTAGTTTAAATAGATAGTAAAGCGATTGTAATTACAGCCAGTGATTATAAAGTTAAAAAAATAGCACTGCAGTCAACATCGGAATTAAAACTGGCTATAGTTTAGAAATTGTCGATGACAGTATATACCTAGTGGTAGATAGGTAGATATTGAGGCCAGAACTTAAAAGATTCTAAATTTAAAACGGCAAAGCAAAACTTCGGGTCTCTGTAACACGGTAAAATTGTGCTATGCTTCAATTGTGGCATCTTTTAATAATTTAAATATTAGCTAGTTGACATCACTTTTACTATAAATAAATTAGAATTATTGTTTAATAAAAAAATTTCGAAGCGTATCATCTATTATTTTCCCTCTGTTCCTATATTTCCTGTTTTGTTCGGAAAATTTAGTCTCGGAATGTGTAAAGTAGATTACTTCGTTGTCAGTTTTACAAGAATTGAAAGAATATAAAAAAACAGTTGTCCCCAGTGTGCTTACGAAAAAAAGAAACCTTGAAAAAGTGGACACTTCAACTTAATTTATCTTAATTTAATTTGTTTATGGTTATTCAATAGTTGAATGGAGCACACGACATTTAAATACCTTGTATAACTACTGGAAACATATTATTATGATGAAATATAAATACTGTTACGAAAGAAAGCCATACGCCGCCCCGGTATGACCTGTGTGGGGTTTCAATTATGTGACTCATCATCATCATCACCGACAGCAGCGTTCGAATAAAGAAAAGTTGGGAAGCGGAAGTCGCGATGGGTACTCCAGAATAATCTCGATCGCGAAAATCTAGAAAGAAACGTATGGGTTTAAACAGAGACCACCTTCGGGAGCAAGTCAGCCTAGCCTAATCCAGGAGTCGATTAATGAATTTGAATTAAGTTGGGACAGAATTATTCGCTGTTATATTTTCTAGTTAGTCGTATAAATTTGCATTACTAGTAAATAAATTGTTGAGCGTTACCAAGGCCGATTTTTAAATACCCGTGAACCGTAAAAATACTTAATATCGTGGGCTCCTGCTCAAATATTAAATTTCCTTCGAAGACTCCGCAAAACTACATCTGAAAAAACTTCATTTCAAGAATGTAGTCAACCACGCACACCCACCACGTCTATAGTAATAATGAAATTCAAACTGGTGCACAACCCTTAGTTGTAAGTCGTGGAGGTGGAATGCATGGTCAGAATTTGCGATTCGAAACTCAACCTTCTCGAGTTCGTTATGCCAGGATCAACACGTTTGAAAAGCGGTGTATATTAAAGGTAATCTCTAACAAATTAAATACATCATAGTGTAATTAATGTGAGACCGATTTGTTAACAATGTTTCAGTCTTATATTATTTTGTGAAATTTTTATTAGTGCACCAGTCCGCGTATTTATGTTTCACATTATTTTGACTGGAGCAACTTCATGTCCTTTAGTAATCAGTGAACTTGCCTCGGAACTTTTCAGGAATTTCACATAATTCAGGTTTAACTTATTTTAGTAACGATGTATCTAAAAGTTTGAATGGTTCTCCCCAAGATGTTTTTTACATTTTGTAATTTTCTCACACGAATTTTTAAAAATAGTAAATTTAAACATTGATTCTTTAGTTATTATCAGATTAGTTAAATTAATATCATCGTGAACTTTAAATTATTATGAATAGGTCATGGACAAATGTAGTTCATAAATTTGCAAGGCATAATACTATGAGTAGATGGTAACAACTATTTGCGTCTATCATTGCCAGGTTTCAATAGAAATGAATAATTAATAATGGACAATAATCAATTTCTGTTTTCAATGCTTGAAGAGTGCATGATTTTCGAAATTTTTTTAAGTTCAACCAAAATAGATGTCTAAATTCATCATAAATATGGTTCTAGTCATCTAAAAATTACTACGAAAGTACATTAAAAACAATATAAGTGAAAGATATAGAGTCAAATCAATCACCATTGTGGATCTACAAGCTACAAGTAAAAAGTATATTTTTCTTATGATGCTCGCTACTAAGATTTTTCATCATAATAATAGTTATCTAAAAATCTGATGAACTACAATATATGTTTATAATTTAAAAATTCGGCTGTAAAGATACTTACAAAACTAATCTAATCCCAACAGCAAACAATTTTTTAATTACTTTTAGTGTTCAGGTTTTGAGAAATGATTCGTCATGTCCTAATGATATATCTCGAAATTTCTGATCTTTCTCAGAACAAAAGATCTCTTTGTCAACCAAACACGGTTACGGGAGAGATCTCCCTAAATCGCTCAAAGTGCACACGACCAAATTGATCCAGATTGATTGGGTCGTATCAGTCGAAAACGCTGTGATATTTTAGTTGTCATCAACTCACGCAAACGCTTGAAAAACAAGATCAAACTTAATACAGCACGATGTCTGCATTAACTTCACCATTAATTTGCAAATTAAACCACAATGAAAATTTCGCAGCGTTATCAGTTATCATCAGTTATCACATATATGCACAAATTCATATTAGTTAACTTGATGCTTTATCTTTAAGAAACGATGTGCGTCGATAAGTTGCACATTTCAACCCATAGCCAGTTTTATTTCCCTTATTCTTTGTTATACAACGATCAAACTTTTAGAAAGTTAAGCTCGAAATATGTATTTAAAGTAATCACTTACGCGTATTCACTTTCGGTAGTGATACACTTTTTAAATAATTACACGGTTAGTGAAGTAACAAACAAATGAATCAATTTTTTTCATTTTCTGGTCTTTTATATTGTTTTTTTATGCAAGAATGTATTTAATTGTTTCCGCTAATACAATAGCTTGTGCATTCTGAAAATGCGACAATTTACGTCTGTTTGATGAAATATTCATTGCAGAATATTTATTCAGATTCAGTGAGCTTCTGTATAATCAGATTAAATATTCTGAAAACAAGAATATGAACAAATTGTTCTAAATTTACTAAACGCACGAAAATAAATTATGCTTCTCTTTCGCCCAACCTTAACCTTCTCTATAGTTCATCACTCATCAGTTATATCTTTCCAAGTTTTTCTAATGTCCTTTTGTGTGTAATGATTTATTTTGTGAAAAACGCACAAGAAAAATCCAGCGTTACAACGCGCAATCAAACCGGAGACGTTAAAGATCGGAATACGATCTGAGGTTTTAAAGCGAAATTTGATCCAAGCCAGAAGAAGGTGCCATCCAAAAAATATTTAACGTTTTATAGAATTATAATTGTACTTAGTAGGTAAATATTAAGAATAAATTTTTCAGTGTTGTTGTTGAAGTAGTAATGATGTGGTAATGTTTAATACTTGCCCGTTTGGAATTTTTGTCGGTTTTAAAACATTATGGACACGGCAGCATGCACTTCAGGGTGGATTTTTTCTGCAGACGTGTTTAACAGTTTTTTAACATTTCAAAGAGAAGAAATGTATTAATTTTTACACCAACAATGTTAGGTCAACAACAAGTCTGTAACATTTTCGACACTGAAATGAAAACTCGCGATCTGTAGTCGAAGAATGGAGACTGCTGATGAAGGCAATATTTCTATGATAATAATTTTCTTATTATTAAATACATATTATAGTTTACGTTATGAATTTTAGTGTTTATCTTTTGTAGCATTCCTACTTCTTATTAAACTACTGTTTCATCGCCTTATTTACTATCTTTATGAAAACAAAATTAAAAATTATTCTACATATGCATCGAGAAATTAAAGTAAGAAACTTTTATAGGAGTCATACTCATAATATATAAAAAATAAAAACATGGAGAGTTGTATAAACGCTTCGTACAACACGTTTAGGGGTATGATAGAATTCCCCTCAGTTTTGCAAGCCCACGACTACACAATGGCCTCTTTCTTTCTCTCTCTGGCACACACGCATATTTGGAGCTTTCTTGGCGCCTTGGCACCGTTCTATCAATTCAAAGCTCGACATTCAATGCAACGCTTATCTTAAGGATTGCATAATGGACAGAAATTTGGGTAGAAGACTAACGTTGATTTAGAGATGCAACGCGTTTATTAAAATTTATTTATTTATTTCTCTTGAAAAATGTATAGTATAAAATAGGGTTTATTGTTTATACAAGTAGTTTTAGTATTAATTTATTATTTGCCTTACAGGCTTAATAATATTCCCAGTAGGGGTACAAATTAACTTAATCTACATCAGATTAATCAATAAAAATAAAAATAAATAAAATAAAATAAATATTAGAGTTTTATATAATAAATATTCTATTCTGTTCTGCTTGCCCACCCCTTGCCATAATTCTCTTATCTTCCATACTTCTTTCATCCAGTCCAGTCCCCTTCCATCCTCGTTTAGCACTTCTTCCCTACTTTCCTCCGATTCTCTCAATTCTTCACATCCTTCCAGCATATGCACTATTGTTTCTCCCTCTCTCAAACATATCCTACAGCTTCTGTCAGTTTCATCCATCCAAAAATTATTCCCTTTCTCTTCATTTCCACACCTAAATCTCGCCATCATTCTTTTCTCCTTTATACTCTCTCTGAGTGTGTACTTTGGTACTTCATCCTTTACTATTTTTCTATACTCTGCATTATATCTAAGCTCCGATATTCTCGATCTGCGTTCTTGCTTATCTATATATCTCCTACACTCAGTTCTTCTTTCATACTCCTTCCCATTTCTCTCATTCTCTCTATTTCTTCACATGTATATCCCTTTCCTTCATAATCCTTGTCTTTTCCCCCTTCCTTTCTTATTTCTTTCCAACATTCTTGGAATATTTTGCAATCACCTCTCTCAATAAACTTCTCTTCAAATCCAACCGCCCTTTTACCCAGTTCCACTCTCTTTTTATCCATTTTTGTTTCTTCTCTCACTATATACCCCGGCGTATACTTTTTCAATCCCAGTGTCCATTTCAAGTATTTTTCTTGCACTCTCTCTATTTCTTCATATTCCCTCCATCCCCAAATCTCAGCTCCGTACATAAATACACTTTTGATCAAACTATCAAACATCACCATTCTTCTCTTATAATCATGTCCAAATTTTCTCTCTCCTATTCCACATACTATTCCTATCACTGTGTTTGCTTTTCGGACCATTTCTTGAATATGCGCTCTATCTGAGTTATTGCTCTTTAATGTATATTCTAAGTACTGGAATTCTTTCACTTATTCAATGTTCTTCCCTTTCTATACTCACTCTTCCTTCTCTTTTCTTACTTTCTTCCCAAACAACACCATTTTTGTTTTTTCCACATTCACTTCCAATTCCTTTTTTTACATACTTCTCGAAACTTTTAATTATTGTTTTCATTTGTGCTCTTTTCTTTGCCACAATCACCAAATCATCTGCGTACGCCAACTACGACACTTTCTCTTTGCCCACTACCACCCCTCCTGTCTGTGCTTTTCTGAATATTTCATCTATATCTCCTAGATATGCTGCAAACAATGTGGGGCTGAGTGGGCATCCCTGTCTCACTCCTGTATTTGTATAAAAACTCTCGCTCTCTATTCCATTCACTCTCACCCTATTTACGTTTCTTCATATATTTCTTCCATTTTCGTTACCAGGTACGCATCTACTCCCACATTTTCTCCGTATTCACACTATCAAACGCTGCTTTGAAATCTATGAACAATGCTTACATTCGTGCATCCTCTGTCCTTATTTCTCTTCCCACTAAATGCCGCAGGATGTACCTACACATTGTCCATAGTACCTCTTCCTTTTCTAAACCCTGTCTGACCGTCTGTAACATACCCCTTGCTTCCATCTCCTTTCGTAACCTCTCATTTAGTATCATTGCCGTATTGAGCAAAGTGATCCTTCGGTAGTTCTTCACATCACTTTTTTGCCCCTTTTTAAATAATGGGATTATTATACTTTCTCTCCACTGCCGAGGAAACCCTTTTCCCTTCCAAACTCCATCTACCACTTCCCATATCCTTTCTTTCACTCCTTCTGTCCCGAACATCCACGCTTCGTTCTGGATTCCATCCCCCCCTGGTGCCTTTCCTCTTTTTTCAGTCTTTCAATCTGTCTTCCTATTTCATCTTCTGTTATTTCTGAACCTCTCCACATTTCTTCCGTCATTGTGATTCCTTTATTTATTTTGCAGCAATTTTCCTCACAACCTCCCAATAATTCCATAAAGTGGCTTTTCCATTCATGTATTTTGATTTTCCTACTGACTTCAGTCTTCCTTCTCCGTTTGTTTATACGAGTAGATATTTTTATTTAAAACTATAGTCTGTCAGATGCTACAAGGTTATGTGGCAGTTGTAAAATTAGGGTATTGTGAAGACGACAATGGAGCAGTTAATAAGGCAAACCCACAGTTGTAATTTGTGTTGGTTTAATGTACCAAAGTGTTTAAGCGGATTACGCAGCAGTAGATACTGAGGTGGCAAGATATTGAGACAAATCCTTTATTTATGACGCTAGGATTGAGCGGATAACCAGCCACACAAAAGGAATTATAAGATCCCATTCTTAAGTTTAATGGAGCCATATACCCTTGTAGTATCTGACAGACTATACTTTAAGAGTATTCGAATCCATTGGTAGGTAGGTATGTATCATGCCATATTACTACAATTTCTTTGAGCATTACACATTACACATTACACATAAAAAAAATCATTGTTGACAAGATTACATGTTAAAATTTGTCTAAGAATATTCTGATAATGGGATTGTCACCGGTATTCAGTTCAAGAACGGATGGATTTGTCAGGGAATATTGTAAAATTGTCAAGCTACCAATAGGTGGCTTATTCTTCGTAGGATAACATGACAATCCCATTATCAGAATATTCTTGAACCTATATGATAGAGATATTGAAATCCTGTAAACGACATCGATTTTAGCTTGAAGAGGGAAGCTTAATGTAGTACAGTTTCAATGAAAAAGGGTACAACATGTGTAGACTATTGTAAACGTTCTTGCAATGACAATTTAGTGAAACGATTTGTCAAAAAAATCCGTCTAATATTAATTAGTCGATATCATCATAATCAATTATAGTTTGCAAATATGCTTCAGCATTTGACTCGTCTCAAAAATGTTCACATTATAAATGGTTCAATTTTTTAATTCTGAAAAACATTTATTACGGAAAATGAATCAGCAATTGAGACCCTACTCGATGGCCAGCTAGCAGCTCAGATTTAACCACCTTAGATTTATTTTTGTGGTGATGCATACAGTATTTGACATATTTGCGACCCTTGCGTGATTTAGAAGCCTAAATTGAATTGAAAATGAATGTTTGGACCCCCTTAACGCGTAATAACTTTATCAAGCGCCATAAGTTGCCAACTAATAAGAAGTTTTGTGTTCGGTGTGAATGACGACAGTTTTAACATGTGCTTAACTAACTGTTTGTGACAGATTATTATTGTTTCTGTACTTTGCATTCATAACCGAGCTATTGAATTGAGTGTTTTAATAAAAAAAATTGTGCTTCAATAATAGAACTGATGTAATATATGTTTTTAAAATTGGCACTTATTACAAATGTCACTGTGATATAACAAATAAAATAAACGTTAAAAGAACGAAATGATAAAGTTTTAAATTGAATAAAATTTTACATAAATTGTACAATTATTAATATTATTATACACATTAATCATAACATTAAATATGTCTTGGGTATTTAGATTAATCCCAGATAATATGATTGTTATAATATTTTGCTCCAGATTATTTTCACCG